GGTGGTGGTGGTGGTGGTGGTGGTGGTGGTGCACACCTTTAATCCAAGCACTCAGGAGGCAGAGACAGGTGGATCTCTGAGTTCGAGGCCAGCCTTGTCTACAGAGCTAGTTCCAAGACAGCCAGGGCCATACAGAGAAACCCTGTCTGGGGGTGGAGGTGGGGTGACATTTTAAGTCTGGTGTTCCCAGCACCCTCAGACACTCTGGAAGTTGAAGCAGTCGGCTGGAGTTCCCCATTGCGCTTTCTCTCTCTGGTCCCACAGCTAAGCTTCTCTCCTGGCCCCTCTTTGCTGCTGGAGTCACTTTTATATCTTTAAATGGACTGGATGCTGGTCACATCCGATGGAAAGTGTTTACCTCCCAGTTATTTTTAAGGGCTCACTGATTTTATTCTTGAGCTGTTTTGCCTGTTGTGTGTGCTGTTATGTTATAGACATGGGGCCACAAAGGATGCTTTAGACAAACATATGAGGGTCTGAAAAGGGAGTATGGTGCAGCCCCACTTTCAGAGCTACTTCTTGGCCCAAACAGTAAGCACATGATAGTTTACCAATAGAATATGCTTTACAGTAACTTGATTTTTATTTTTTTCCCTTTTTTTCTTTGTATGTGCCTGTGTCTGCTCATGTGCATGCAGGAGCCAGAGGTCAACATTGGGTGGCTTGCTAAATGGGTTTACATATTAAATTTTGGGACAGGATCTCACTGAACCTGGAGCTCTCTGATTGGGCTAGACTGGCTGGCTATAGAGCTCCCAGGGTTGATCTCTCTCCACAACTGCGCTTAGTTTTCATATGGGAACCAGCCCTCAGTCACTATCAACAGCATGAAAGATGAACAAGAAAGCTGCCTAGAGGAAATGGGCTATTTAGAAATTAGAGGAGTTTTCAAATATTTGTTAAAAAAAATAAAACAAGGACCTGGGGAGATGGCTCTGTATGACCTGAGTCTGATCCCTACTACCCATATAAAAAAGATGGGTATAGATTAGTGTATTGTTTGGTCCTTCAGAAAAGCCACTTCCTGCAGTAGGTGTTAACACAGAAACACAACGGGACAATGCAGACTAAGAGACTTTGGAGCACTCAGCCCAAAATTGGATGTTCTTATCAAAGCCGTCTGCTCAAGGTTCAGGATCTATGAGGAAAAGAAGACAGAAAGATTGGAAGAGCCAGAGGTGATGGATGGCTCCAAAGAAACAGTTTCTTCCCGACATAATGGGACTGATGCACACATGAACTCTCAAAGACTGTGACAGCACACACAGGGCCTTACAAGTCCAAGCCAGACAAACAAACCCTAGCGCCTTGGAGGAGAATCAAGCACAAGGCCCCACTGCTAGTCAAGAAATTGTTTGCAGTTGATATCTATTAGGAGAAGGAGAATCATTTTTCTCTGGTGGAGTGACATTGGGTCTATCAGTCCTACTCCAGGGCAGGCCACATGTCAACTTGGTCAATACAAAACAGACTCCATGTTTTTTTTTTTTATTTTGATATTTCAAAGATATTTTAGGATTTTTTAATTTGTTAATTATTGACATTTTGGTAGAGAGAGAGAGAGAGAGAGAGAGAGAGAGAGAGAGAGAGAGAGAGAGAAGAGAGAACATGAAGCAGGGAGGTTAGGGAGGGAGGTGAGATGAACTGGGAGGAGAGAAAGAATGTGATCAAAATATAAGCCAACAGATACAACATATGAACAAACAAACTGGCTGTTTAATGTGTACCTATAATCCCAGAACAAAGAGGAGGAGACAGGCAAGATCCCCTGAGCTCAATGGCCAACAGTTTAGCCTAATGGTGAGTTCCAGACTAGTGAGAGACCTTGACTTTAAGGGGATGGCCAGAGTTCCTGATGACACGCTGGAGGTTGTCTTGCCCTCTGGCCTGTACACTCACACCCAAACACATACATGAATACATGTGTACCCAGCACACACATGCATTTGAATACACAGAAGCACACACACTTTTAAAAGAAGACAATACTCTTCACTGTTCTCAATTTTTAATGGAAGTCATGCTTGTGTTAATCTTCATTTTGACAGTATTTTCTGATCAGTAAAACTAGTAGCACAAATCACCTTTAACTGCTAGTTGTCAACCTTGGTGGGGTGGGACTTGGTCAGTTTGGGGTTGTGACCAAAGCTTAGTTGGTAATGTGCTTGTCTTGCAAGCATGAGAACCTGAGTTGGACCCCTAGGACCCATGTAAAAAGGCTGGGTGCGGTGGCACACTCGTGTAATTCCAGCGCTGAATGGGCAGAAGCAGAGAGATCCCTGAGGCTTGCTGGCCAGCCTCCCTAAGCTACTCAGTGACTTCCAGGCCAGTGAGAGACCATGTCTTAAAAGAAATCATGGAAGTCACCTGTGGAATGACCCTGAGTTGTCCTCAGCATGTACTAACAACAGCACACAACCACACCCAAAAGATCTAAGTCCTAACAGTCTGGGCTTGGGGTGGGGCACGTTTTCATACTCTTCCCTAAGTGGCTCCGTGCTTCCTCCTTCCAGTCCAGTCTCTGCTTAGTGCTTCCAGACTCAAGCCTTCCTCTGCCCAACCCAGGAGGAGTTCCCTGTCCCAGTACCTTACCGGGAGGTACAGAACGGATGTCTTCCCTCACTTGGACGGTCTTTCCCACCCTGCCTCAGCTCTGCAAACGACTGACATTAGATGGACTCAGAGAGCATGGCCTCTCACCTCAGTTTCTCCCTCTGTGTAACGGTCCCACCTCCCAGGCAAGCAGTAGGTACACAGTTTCTCTCCTCTGGCCTCTCCATTGTTTTCCTTGGCCTGTGACTCCCAGGGATCCCAGCCCCAAAGCTCTGCAGTCTCTGAGAACCTATCAGACCTGAATCCAAACCAGCCCTCAGCATGGTTCCCCTGCAAGTTAAGTTGGAGAAACCAGATGATGAGGGCTCCTCCCCTGCCATAGATCTTCCAGGCAGCTGCCACTTCTGGGAGCTGCCACTGGGTGTCAGAGTGGCCCCAGGAAAAGTCTTTTCTTGTCATACAGCAAC